TAGATAAAATAATAGTATCGATCAAAAAGTTGAAGTCTGGTAAAAGTTCTTGTATCAATGGACTCATAAGTGAAATGTTTTCTGTCTGTCCTAACTTATTTGCGCCAATATTGAAAATTCTTTTCAATCATATTTATTCTTCCGGTCATGGTCGGAATATTTATAGTTTGCTTTTCCAAAGAGTGGTGATCAACTCTATCCTAACAACTATCGACTGGTTGTATTAATCAGTGTTTCATCGAAGCTTGGGCGCATTACATTTGCGCGCATTTGGGATTTTGATATCATTTTACAGGTAACACAGGTAAAAATAAATGATAACTCAAAATAAATAAGTTTATATTTGTTATGAATTTTGAAAATATTTTTAATTTCAAATTATATATTTTTTCAAATTGACTTCTAAAAATATATATTGATCATGCGATTTGCTATGTTTTTATATTTTTATCATTAGGACTTAAGTGCAGGTGCATAATAAAACGGACTTATCCTGCTTGAAATAAAATTTAAATAAATAAGTATAATCTACCTGTATTTACCTCAGTTTACCTGAGATTACCTGTAAAACAAATGCGCGCAAATGTAATCAAAAGCTGCGCGCAAACGTAATGATTTTTGCGAGCAAACGTAATGCACCGCGAAGCTTTACACTACAATATTGACAAATCATGTATTTAATTGGTAAGAAGAAGGAGACAAATTGATCAATAACCAATTCTGATTTAGACCTGGCAAATCAACTGTTGACGCTATATTTATATTACAAGATAAGATAATTTATTTCCAATTATGGGCCCCAAAGGGCATAAACATTACAACATCAATAATTTTTCATAATACAATACAAACAATGAGAAAAAAAAAGAAAGTTTAACGAGAACTATTTAAGTTCTTAAAGAATACGTAGATAAAGAATCTATAGTATGTTTTTTTTTTAATACTAATGCATTTTATTGCAAGTGTGGTTGATATAGATAACAAACAAGCAGCCCAAAAAGAAAAAAGAAAAATAGATATCCATATATGTATAGTACACAAAAAGTTGGATCAATTAAACATATAATAATTAGCCAAAAAGAAAGTAGAAATTAAGCATGTCCATGACTCATCCTGTGTCAGCAGCAAATAGGAAAGTATTATGGTTTCCTAAAGGCAGCTGACACCAGGGGGCGATACCTTATGGGCCATAGGCATGTAAAATGTGTGTAAATGTCTCTTTCCTACCTGTATCAAAAGCAAACAAGGAAGCATCATAGGTAACTTGAATGCAGTTGATACCAGGGGACGATGCCTCAAGGATATAAGAGAACATTTGAATAAATAATATATCATAACAATTAATTTTTTTTTTTAATCGGCTAGTATGTTTGTGATATTCAGATGAATATAATTTTCTATGTCCAATCAAATGTATATACACACATAGATTCCCTTTAACTAATCTTCACTAAGGAAGATGTTTGTATATAAAATTACATATTATTTTAAGTAACTCAACATTTTCTACACTACATAAAATAATTGCTCATCCAATACAAAATAATAAAAAAAACTGTATTATTCGTTTGTGGACTTCCGCTAAGCGTTCGACAAAATTAGCAGGATATACTATGACGGAGTGATATTAGGTCAAAGTCTGCAACTATATAATCAGTATATTCGTCTGTGAAAATGCGTGTCAGAACTGGTGATTTACTGTTCGACTCATTCAAAAATTTTCTTCGAATAAAACAAGGGGAACTTTTATCACCTTTACTTTTTTATTTTTCATTAATGACTTGATTGAAGACATGAATATTACTCTATCAGTTGACTTAGTTAATATCAATGAAGTTCTGATATACTTAATACTATTTGAATGAGATTTTACCAATTGTTTGCGTTTTTGCCTAATATCTAAAAACTATAATAGATAGACAAATACTTAAATTATCGAAAGTGATCAGCAAGACTAGATCTACAACGAAGTCTGTTGGTCGAAATCGTCAGTTGGCTGCTTATTGGAGTATTGCTCTTTAAAGACGATGTTTACCCATTTTAAGTGCGGTTGCCTTTTATCTTGAAAACTATAAAAGATAGATATTCAATTTCTATAGCAAAAATGACCAGCAAAATAAGATCTACAAATAAATCAACATTACCGAAATCGTCAGTCGACTCCTTATTGGAGTTCTTGCTCTAAGTGACAATTTTTATTGATGTTTTGCGTGTTTGCCTATTATCTTGAAACTGTAAAGGATCATTGATTGATAGTTTGGTGTTTTAACGCCACTTTCAGCAGCATTGTGCTTTTTCGTGACGGTCTCTTTTTATTGGCTGAGGAAGCCGGAGTGCCCGCAGAGAACCACTGACCTTCGGTAGGAAAACTAACAATCCTAGTCATTTAAGATTGAAGTCGAACGTACCTGCCATGTGCGGGCTTTGAACTCACAACCTCAATGTTGAAAGGCTAATGATGCAGTAGTTCGACTACTTAGACCACTCGGCCACCGATAAAGGATAGATAGACATTTTTTAAAAAGCAAAAATGATCAGCAAGACAATATCTACAAATCAGTCAAATTTTGCTGAAATCGTTAGAAGACTTTATAGGAGTGATTGCCCTTAAATGACGAAGGTTTACCCTTTTTGTGTTTTGGGCAAAAACTAAGAAGAAATAAACCGTAAACAGAAAAAATTATCAATGATACAAGATCAACAAGATAGAGATTTTTGCTATGAATTTTAATCTAGTCCTCATTGTAGGAGTGTGTCCATTTTTGTCGATGCACATAGATCTAAATGAGCAACACAGGCTCTTTAGAGCCTCTAGTTACTATTTACACTGTTTATCATATACAATATTGCTTTTGTATATTGCATAATATTATGTTTTGTGCAATGCTTATGTTGCCAGTTGTGTGTCTGGGTTTTTGGAAATAAAATCTTGAATCTTCACATTTCCGCTGTTTTCCTGTAAAATTGATCAGTTGTAATCATTACGCTTGTTGAAATCAACTTTGTCCTTACTTATAATTCATATTAACTTAGTTATGAAACCCGTAATTTGATGTTTAAACATTCATGTTGAATTTACAATAACGAAGATATAGATTTTTTGTTGTTGAAGTTAATATGATGAAGTTCCATATTTGCATATTTTCGGACAGAAAGATGGAATATCAATTTCAAAGTGTATTATAATGATAAACGGGCCACATGTATCAGGCCAACTAGCCTGTGATGACTGTACCTTTAAGATGTTTATAAATAAATAAATGTTCTGTGGTTATGATATAAATTGACATTTAACAGTCTTGTAACAATATGACTTTAACTTCGCCAGGGTAAAAAGTTCTGTAGGAAAGGCGTGAATGTCCTTTTTATTACAGTGTAATAAAAGACAAAGTACAAATATCCTTTAAAAAAGCTCAAATTTTCAATGAAGCGCCGAAACTCCTATAGCCCGCAGGTCTATATCCGCTCGTAATATTTAAAGGGAAACGATACATTATATGATAATTTCGTTTTGAATTTATATTTTTGATTATTGTTATAGTTACCAGAAATAATTTTTGAGAACTTATAAAATAAAAAGTGTTTTTGTGGTGAAATCATTGAAGAGCTTTGCCAGGTTGATTATTTATTTAGTTTTGCTTCTAAAAATCTCCTTGCTTAAAATGACTGAAATGGACTACTAGTATGTGCAATGATAACGACCAACCATAAAAACGGTTAGAAATGTAACTAAGGCACAACTATTTCCTTGACTTGTACGGCCCAAGAACAACACATACTGTAAAGGCCATTCTTGCGGAGTTTATGTAACGATGTTTTAATTCAAACCTGTTCGTTAAGTTTTACGTTCTCCTTTTTAACCGGGTTATCCGGAGGAATAATCCGGCTATTAAAGTAATAAAGTTCGGCGGAATGCGAGCGGCTGTCAACATTTTCAGTGCAATAACTTACGAACTGTTCAACCAATCCTTTTTCAGATTTCATATGTTTTTGTCGTTGACAAAATGGACTTCAAGTTTGATATTGACTATTTTCACTTTTACCCTTTAGGAGCTTTGGTCCTTGATAGATTGGAAAATAGGCACTGAACGTGGCAGGTCAAACTGACTATAATTGAATTTGGCTTTTTGTTAAGTCTTTTTAGGTCCGATAGTCTCAAACATCATTGACTTTCAATTGTTCGGGCTTGAGCGTTTCTGATGAAGGAAAATCCAGAAAAGTGCTTCGAACATCAATTTCATTACTGATAGTTGCCATCTGAAGTTCAACAATCATAATGGTTACCTTCTAAATAAAGACAACCTTGTTCGCTGTCAATTTTACAGCTCATTTCTTAATTGTTTTTTTTATTATTATTCATGATTCTAATCTTCCTTAAATATAAAATTTACACAAGGGGATATTTTGGCGATTATAGTTGCGAAACATACACCTCGCGAAAATTTTCCACTTTACAATGGTAGTTTAAAAGATTATTCTAAACTTAAACTCCATGCAGCTGTACCCTGATTGTTATGATGAGACACCCCCAGCCTCCTATCTCCCATGAGAGTCGCTTATCAACTTCTTTTTACCGAATACTTAAAAATCGAGTCTCGACAATTAGCACACAATTAGCACACAATAGTTCACAGGACATCTTGAGTGTATTGCTATATTGTAACAATTATATAAAGGAGAATATGCAATGACCTTATAATTTTCAACAGTCAAAATAATGTCAGCTTTTTAGTTTTACCTATAAAATAAAAGTAAGAACATTGCTTATATCCTCTTTCTGTAAATTTCCAGAGTGGATTTTATAACCGTGATATTGTATTGGTCGTAAAAGCGTAAATTGAAGGAAGTATTATTAAATTAATTTATAAAAATAAATAAAATCTAAAACGGATATGATAAATTGTTTTACTTTATAATTTCCACATAATTTACAATACCAGGAAAAAAACTTACTAGCAAAAATAGTTTTAAAATGGTAGTGGTACCATATACTAGTATTCAAACTGATAAAAAGACATTTAAGTCATGTCAAGGGAAAGGGATACACTTATTTCTCGCTTATTCACTGTCGTACTACTAAAAGGTATGATTGTTTAATTTTTTGAAAAACTCCATTAAACTAGTATGTGAATTAACAACAGCATAAGAATATCAGCTTTGCATTTGACATTTGTATTTGCATTTAAACATATTTGAAAGTTTTCATAATCTGATAATAGTTTGTTGTTTATTTTGTTCACATTGAAGTTTAGTGCGTTTTTTTGGGTTTTTTTTTTTCCTTCCCGATTCTAAGCCAAAACTGTTGATGGTTTTATTGTAAATAACTTGACTGTAATTTTACTAACCAATTTTGTATTTTGTTATATCTGTTTCGTAATGAAATTTAGATTTAGAAAAAGGTAGTGTAATATTGTTTTCGGAACCACTCGAGCATTCACTCTCATTTCAAAAATAAAATCTATTATACTATTAGATGTATACTATTTATATCATATCATCTATGAACAGTTTCTGAAAGAATATCAATGTTAATATTGTCTTCATATAATTGGGTTTGTGTTTGACAGGTAAAAAGTGTAAATGTTAATGAAACTGATCAATCGGAACATGATATTTCAATACTTTTTTTCTAAATAAGATGGGGCAAAACCATTTAACAATATCCATCTGATATTTATTTCCTCCCAATATTCAAGATCTTTTAATTAAAAACAATGATGATTGAAATGTTGGAAAAAGTGCTTTAAAATAAATAATTAATGCTAGATACATGTTCATGCCGATACGTTGAAATGTTCAGTAACATAGTAAGTACTATGCTTATAATGAAATAATGAATCTGAATCTGAATTGGTTTTTCCCCTGGAAACACACTCTATACACAATCACTATCAGTGGTTGAAATTGTTTTCAAGTCAAATTAGCGTACAAATGTATTTTTGAAAGTTCTAGTACTAAAAAAGAAACATATCGATTTAAATCATTATAGATAAACTCACACTCAGATTTATCGAAAGCCCATTTATTGTGTTTGATGAAACCTTATGTGGTTGTATCGAAAGCTCATATGTGGGTGTCAGTGCAAATCAACAGGACGGAAACATAAATGCAATTTAGTTGAACAGTAACAGGATGTAGATATAAATTGAAACTTTTCTTTTTAATTTAATTAGAAAGTCAATGCATGATGGGAAAGTTGTGTTTCTCATAGGCTCTTAATTCAGCCATTGACATGAATGTGCATCTGCAATCATTTAGTTGAACACAAGTTCAAGGACATTCATCGTCTAATGTTTGTGCATCTCAATGTTACTCTTTTGCCGACACATTTAAGACTTTTTTGTCAGATGCATGGTAAAAAAGGACAAAACAGTTGATTTTTTTTTGGTCAATATCATTTTTATTAGTAGAATTTTTTTTTATGAGTTCCATTCAAAATAAAAATAAGAATCGATATTGAACCAGATTCGAATATGTAACATGTGTAAGGTCTTCATCCGGGACGACCATTTGATATTTGGGAAGGGGGCAGAAGGATATATTTTTCGGATTGACTATTCGGAGTCGCGCAAAAACTTATTTGCACTTTTGTACACAATTGTTTCCTGCATTTTATGTTGCAGAATATTCATTTTCACCTTGTATAATGGAAGGATATTTATTTCAGCTCTTACTAGGCCAGCTCGATATTCAATTTCAAAATCCATCTGCCCCCAAGAAAATTAAATGGTTATCCATTAAACGAAAATTAGAAAGAAGGAAACCACTCTTAGTTTATGATGAATTGTGAAACACTCTTATAATTTCATAATGAAGGATTTATTTTCCGGATTGATTAGTCGGAGCCGCGCGAAAATTTATTTGCACTTTTGTACACATTTTTTTCCTTCATTTTGTGTTGCAGAATATTCATTTTTATCCCGTATTATGCAAGGATATTTTTTCAGCTCTTACCAGGCCAGCTTGATATTCATTTTCAAAATCCTCCTGCCCCCAAGAAAATAAATGGTTATCCCACTAAACGAAAATGAGAAAGAACGAAACCAATCTTATTCTATGATGAATTATGAAACACTTTAAAATTTTATAATAAAGTATGCAGTATCACTATTTTGCGGGTTGCGGGTTGCGGGCTGCTCTATTTTTGTCTTTATCTTAATTTTTCTAAACAAACATAAACTCATTAATTTTTAATCTGACAATGAATAAACCCATAGCGTACAATAACTTTATTATAGCAGTTTCGTTAATTATGATAAATTGACTTTATTCAGCATAACGATTGAGACTTTTACCTTGGAATAATGAAGACAAAGTCCGTACAAAGTATCAACAAACATATGTACAGTATTACTACATTCATGCGTCTTTTAGTTAGTCTTGATAGTATCAGTCTATTTGACTTGCAATATAATATTCAGAACCTACAATTTTTTTCTTCAAATACATATAATTTGGAATATCAAAATGAAAAGAATGCAGAAAATGTTTCTTAACCATTCACGTGTGTAAATTGCTAACATTTATCAGTGTTCTCAGTAAAGTAATATAAACGGGTGCGTCTGATGAAATGACATAATTATGCAAAAGCAAAACACACACTAAAGTTCAATTCCTAAATTGGTGAGATAATGCCTGTTTTCTTCTGACAATGTTTGTTTAAGTTCATTTGTGATTATTATATCGCCAGCTTTCAAATTTGGATGCACTTTTTGCACACAGTCAGTCTGTAAATGATAACCCGCGTTTGATTTTCTTCTTTATTAGGTGAAATGTTCCACTCCTTTTTGTCTTTATAGAAACGAGAGCGTACTTCCAAATGTTTTATTATTACATCAAATGGGGGCTTTCTGTTTATATATGCGATATAATAATCACAAATGAACTTAAACAAACATTGTCAGAAGAGCACAGGCATTATCTCACCAATTTAGGAATTGAACTTTAGTGTGTATTTTTTATCACAACCATAGCATTTAGATATAATACCATGAACTGATAGGTCAATTCAAAAGGGTCACTTGAAGTTGAATGCCAATATCTGTTTTTCAAATCTGAATAATTAAAAGTTGACGGACTATTCAGTTTTAACGAGTTTGGTTCTAAGGCAAATGCATAAAGTCTGTTTACTATATTCCCCACTTCAGTTAGAGTGTAACAATACTGTTTAATAATATTGCAGGTTTGTGAATAGTCCAAGCAAATCAGTATGAAAATTCTGTGTTTACATGCCACCTTTCTCAATTTTTCAGTACTTTGAAGTTTAGATAAGGGACACGAGCAAGTAGATTTATAGTCAAAATAAACTGCACATGTTTCTCCCTGGGTGAAACAAGACTCGCAGTAGCTTGCATTGGTGAATGAATGTTTACTTCAATGCACTTATAATCCCCCATTGTCTTAGCTTTTTCAATCCTGATGTTAAACTCTTTCGAATTATTGGTCCTTGTCTTTCCAATTGGTCTTTTGTCTTTATCTCAGCTTTTGTCTGCTCTGTGCGATGAACTTGGTTCAGCCATGAATGTTGAAGTTGTTGGTAATTGTGGAGCCTTACCACCTTTGAATTGATCATCTAACGCATGTAAAAGATTTTCTGCTCGACTATTGGCCTTTTGCTCCAAAATCATCTGTTTTCGCTGATATGATGGACCAGATCGAAGGTTTACTACACCAGAAAAGTAACCTTTCACAGCCTGTCCGTACTTTAAGCAATCAGCTGTTTATATATCAAAAACAGCTGTTTGTATCATTACAGCCGATTTCAATGAGTGTGTAGCTAAAGGTAATATCTTTGGTTAGCTTGCTTGCTAGCTGAACCGTGAAGTCATAGTTAGGTAATGTATACTACCCTCCTTTCGAAGTAGCCTAGTCCTACAGACAGATAGATTGGTTATCTGTCGGACTAGTCTACTCTTAAAGGAGGATAGTTTACCTAACCTAACAATGACTTCACGGTTCAGCTAGCAAGCAAGCTAACCAAAGATATTACCTTTGCCTACACACTCATTGAAATCGGCTGTAAGATTGGAACCACCACAATGGGTTGTAGATGCATGAGACACCTCGGAATTTCAATAAATCGTTGTCAAAGCCTATCCCAGCACCCCATCTCCATGGATCACAAGGTGTTTCGAACATCTATTTAGACCCATTAGAATAAACTAATTAACCATGGCAATGTCCATCGTCAGGAGCCCAAGCCATTGCATGGTGACACTTAATCTTAAAAATACTGTAATATTTATAAGGGGCTCGACACCTCGTGATTTGTTTGACTAATACTCTTCTATACTCTTTCTTTTCTTTCCATGTTTATCAATTTAACAAACATAGTATAGAATATATTCTTAAAAGAGCGAAAAAAACAAAAACGGCTATCATGAAAAAGGCCGTCTATCAGAAAAATAGAAGATTAAGATTCGCTCTCTCAAGAAGAAAAAAATCAATTGAAAAGGCACGTGAATATGTTAAAATTTTCACGACTGAAAAAATAAAAGACAGTGAGATTTTGTTACTAGTAAAGGATACAAGTATATACCGTCTCCCTCGAGGAAATTTGCAAAATCTAGTATTGCATCAGATTTCAATGAATTTGCAAGAAAACTAAGATGTAATGATATCATTTTGACAAGGGTGATATTTTTAAACGTCATCCCTTTTTTACAAGTCCGGATACGAACCGGAACTTGCAAACAATGCAATTAAGACATATATATTCAAAACTAAGATTGAGATAGATAACTTAACAATACAAAAAGCCCACGATAATCTCACTACGCTGGAAAGAAAGGCAATTTCTTCCCTGAAACAAAACAAAAAAATAGTTATTCTATAAGCAGATACAAATAACACCATAATGATCTTGGATAAAACAGAATATATAAATGAAGGACGTATGCAACTTAGTAGTGCTACTCACTTCATAGAAATTGAAAAATTAAATATAATAGAGACCAACCAGAAAATCAATAATATTATCTTTGAAATGCATAGGAAAGAGGTCATAGATGAAATCACATTTAAATATCTTTCTGCTAAGAGAAATCTTAAACCAGGAAGGTTGTATCTTCTGCCTAAATTGCTCAAACTGGATCCTGAACTAATAGAAAAGGTTCAACAGAATCCTACGCTGTATAAAAATGTCAGAATTCAAGGGAGGCCTATTGTTTCATTATCTGGTACTGCTTTAGAGAGAATAGGGAAGTATTCAGCAGTAGTACAACAAGAAACACATTTAAGGGACTCTTTAGAATTTATAAATATTATTGAGAAATTGCGGGTAAAACCTGACGCCTACTTAGTCGGTTTTGACATAAAAGAATTTTACAACAATATGTCCCATGCAGAAATGATTGACGCAGTCAAACATGCTTGGCCTACGATAATTAAATGTAAACATACGATACCATTGCCTCCCCTGCGATATATATTGGAGCTTCTAAAGTTAGTTCTTGAAAATAATGAATTTATGTTCAATGATAAATTTTACAAAACTTCAACTTCAGTTCCAATGGGAAATAGTTTATCACCTGAAATTACCGATCTGAGAGTTTATGAAGTCTTAAATAGTACTTTAAGGACTTTCCAACATAAACAGAAAATATCGAGCCTCTATAGGTTTTGGGACGATGGCTTTTTTATTTACAATTTTTTTACATGACATGCTAACAGACACCATGCACTACTAAAATTTACATACGAGAAATCACAAACTAAAATGCAGTTTTCAGATGTGTTGGTATTCAAAGGTCCAAGATTTAGAGAAACAGGAATCTTAGACCTCACGAAATTCCGGAAAAAAAACTGAAAATTATCAGTACTTAGAGAGGTCCTCATGCCATCCATCCTCTACTTTCAGAGGCATAAGTAAAGGAGATATGCTTCGCTTTAAGAGATGTACGAACAATCCAGTAGATTTACAAACACAATACGCGTTATTCTCTGAACGCCTTATTAAAAGGGGTTATAAAGAAAATGAAATTAAAACAGTTATGCAGGAAGTGACTGCAAAACAAAGAAATGACACATTATTGGTTACACCCAAATCTGTATTACAGTCGCCTCCCTGTGTATTCTCTTCACTTAAAGAGCAATATTTTAAAACACTTGGATAAATGAAAAAGAAGACGAATAGGCTAAACTTTTATTTGATAAAAGACCTCTTTTCGATTTCCGTAGGCATAAAAACTTGAAAGACACAGTAACATCTGCGACTCTTGGTAAAACATGTTGCAAATTATGAAAATATGTTCTATACTATGTTTGTTAAATTGATATGGAAAGAAAAGAAAGAGTATAGAAAAGTATTAGTCAAACAGATCACGAGGTGTCGAGCCCCTTATAAAAATTACAGTATTTTTAAGATTGTCACCATGCAATGGCTTGAGCTCCTGACGATGGACATGGCCATGGTCAATTAGTTTATTTTAATTGGCCTAATAGATGTTTGAACCACCTTGTGATCTATTGAGTTGGGGTGCTGGGATAGGCTTTGACAACACTTTGACAACGATGTATTGAAATAAAAGTATGATCATTATTTTTATTATCACACTTAATTCAGGGAAATTTTAAGAAAATTATGTAATTTCTTCCTAAAAAGTTCCTTTTCGTACACTTTAAATAGTGTCATTGCTTTGTGTGATTTTTCTAGAGCACTGGCCTAGCTGGTTAACAATTTTTACTTTTAATCAATTCTAAAATAAGTGATATTGTATTTATTTTCTGATATATTGGTATATATATATAATATATATATATATAATGAATGACCAGCAATAAATCACTAAAAGTTTGTTAATAACAATACACAATTTTTCGAAGTTTCACAAATAGATCCTTTTACAAGTATATACAGTGTTTTGATGATTTTTTTTTTATTCCCTCTTTATTGTTCAACTGACTTATAGATCGCAACCCGCAACCCGTAACGCGCAGCGCGCAACCAGCAACCCGCAACCAGCAAAATATACACACTCTAAATTATAAAACATTATCACTTAAATTATTTTGTAGGAGCAATCGGTCTGTCAGAACCATACATAAATTCCGCCGTTGGTTACACAGCATATTTGCCTTGCATCAATATACAGGGAAACATAATAATTCAGTGGTTGCGTCTAAACGAGAACACAGAAACAGTAGACAGTACTTATACTACAACATACACAGATGGTTGGACAGTTAATAGAAATTTACCGCACCACGAAAGGCTGGGGATCGTTGGCTTAAAAGGTGGAGAAAAGTACAATTTGAAAATATCCAATTTAACAATAGAAGATTCTGGAAGATATAGCTGTGCAGTTGATAATCCAAATGGCACTCAGTATTCCTATGTCACGTTAAAAGTTGAAGGTACTGTATGTGAATTAGCATTGACCTGTTCATCTCTTTAGATTAGTAAACAGCGTTGACCATCATATGAATGTGTTGAAGATTTTACCCATCGACTCCCTTATATATATAATGCTTTTACAAAAACAAAAACAAACCAATATATAGCCTGAGGGTTCAATTTTCTTTTAAATATCAGGTCATCGGGCTTGGTTTCAAGATACAGGTTGCCTCTGTGGTGAATTTGCTCAATGTGCAAGAATCTTACAGGGGAAACGCATTGTTATGTAAATAGAAAGAAAACCAAACAGAATTTTGAAATAAATTGGAGAAGATATCTTATAAAAATGCTTTTAGAAAATAAGAAGAAAAATGATGTCGCTGTACATTTTTTCTTCCTTTTTAATACAAAATAGAAACATTTACTGTACATTCCTCTGTAAAATCAAATTATCTGAGGTACCTCCCGTTAAAAAGGCTAAATTAAAAAAATTTTGAATCAATAAAATGATATTCTGTACTTTTAAAAACCAATCGAAGTAATCAGTTAAAATCGCATCATTATCTTTAAGTAAATTGCATTCCTGTCTCAAAATTTGCTTATATATGTCATTAAATATCCAGACCTATAGATTTCTGTTATTTAACTATCAAAGATGGCGGATGTCCCCCATACCAATTTTTAAGAGGAAGGGACTCATAAAATGTTTTTAAAAGAAATTTCACCTGCGGAGAAATTACAATAAGTGTCCTTGAACATTTTCCCGTTTTCGGCTGTTTCATTGAATTCTCAGTTTATTAACTAGCTCTATTTCACTAGAGAACATAAATATGAAAAAATATAATCTATTCGCACACATACTCCTTACAGACAAAAAGCTTAAATTGTAATTTTATATATTTGACATTTTTCAGACTTGCAAACGACCATTCGTTATTTACAGAACGATACGTATTTAACAACTGTTGCTTACAAAGAAACATCGCAGGATTTAACGTTTTCTTCCTTAACAAACAAAGCAACTGTTAAAACAACAGCCTCTTCCTCAACAAACACAACAACTGTTACAACACCAGCTAATACGTCAGTAAATCATGGTACGTAGTATATCTGTTACAACAACAGCTAATACGCCAGTAAATCACGGTACGTAGTATATCTGTTACAACGACAGCTAATACGCCAGTAAATCACGGTACGTAGTGTACATCTGTTACAACAACAGCTAATACGTCAGTAAATCATGGTACGTAGTACATCTGTTACAACAGCAGCTAATACGTCAGTAAATCATGGTACGTAGTACATCTGTTACAACAACAGCTAATACGCCAGTAAATCATGGTACGTAGTACATCTGTTACAACAGCAGCTAATACGCCAGTAAATCATGGTACGTAGTACATCTGTTACAACAACAGCTAATACGACAGTAAATCATGGTACAGCCTTTACAAGACAAACGGAAAAAAAGAAGACAAAACTGAAACATTTGCTTAAGCGTGCACATTTTTTTTGGCGTACAATTTAAACTAATGATAATTATGGTCACCGACTTCGTTTACGGTCTATTAAGTAATCAATCTGTTACCTATTTAAATATAAGAAGATGTGGTATGAGTGCCAATGAGACAACTCTCCATCCAAATCATAATGTATAAAAAGTTAACAATTATAGGTCAAAGTACGGCCTTCAGCACGGAGCATTGGCTCACACCGAACAGCAAGCTATAAAGGGCCCCAAAATGACCAACGGTCTAATCTATATAAAAAACGAGAAACACCTATGAACCACACCAACAAACGACAACCACTGAACAACAGTCTCCTGACTTAGGACAGGTGCTTAAAAATGCAGCGGGTTTACTAAACGCTTTTACAGGCGCCAACCTTCATCCTAACCTGAGACAGAAGTGTACCATTACAACATAAAAGACACACTATAAAATACCAATTGAAATGCTAGTTGGGAGTGGAAAACGTACCCTGAAATCGACATTTTACGGCCTACAACGCGATAACGCTTATTTCGACGTATTGAGGTATTTCTTTCACCTACAACACCACTTTAAATCTTGTATACCGTAAAAACGTGAATTAAAATCTGGATCCGATTCCAACGTGGCAAAATCGGCCGTGAGAATCGGATCCAGATTTTACTGACCCACCGTATGCGGTATCATGTAATTGCTCCTCGGGATTCGGATCCCTCCGCGGGTTTCGGATACTTCCGCGGGTTTTGGATCCCTCCGCAAATTTCGGATCCGTCCGCATCTTGTAAAATAAATGTTTTTAAAGAAACCCAAATTAATATGATACTTAGGCAACTAAACACGACAAACATGTGTATGATTCTTGAGCACACATGCTCATTTGTGAATATTCGTTTGCACAACACAATAGTGACTGTGTTAGTATTTTTGTGGACTAAGGTTTTAAAAGGAATCGCCTATACCCAAACATTCTGAAATAATAACCTTAGTTTAAAAATCTTAATTGCTAACATAAACAGTACATGTTTGAAATATATGCGATATATTAAAAAAAATCCATGGACCTAATTTGCATGTCTAGACCATATTTCAATTTCATTGTGAACGTCACAGTGCGTTTTTGTTTGAAAATCTTGATTTATTCAATAGAAAAAGTAAGTTAGCAAGAATTATGTTTTATAGACGTCCGAGTTGTCTTCAGGCTTAGTTGTCTTGTACTCGGGCACGACTTGGTTTCGTTTTAACGTTTGCGAAGAGTTACAGTAAGGCGTGACTAGTCAGTGGCAAGATACATGAGGGTCTGGATGGGGTTTACAGAATAGAGAACAATGGTCAAATAATACAGAAAAATGGGCCAAGTAACCTCCCGAAGAAAACAATAATATGGAGTGCTTAATTAAAAAAAGAGAATAAATTGCCCCAAAAAAAATTCAGAAGAGAGAAAAATGACCTAAAAATTAATGAATACAGAAATGAAGTACCCCTCCAGACACTCATACATAAACTTTGTTCCGGAACAGCCTTAAAATTTGACGGAATATTTTGTTTTTACTCATTATTCATGTGCACGAGCTAAATTTTTAATAGTTCCTATTTAACTTGAAAGAAATTGAAAGAAATTGAAGTTAAATGAATTCATTTTTCTATAACTTGTTATAAGATTTTAACTTGGTAGTATTTAGAAGGTGTCATAGCTATTTGCAAGATATTTACTTGCCTAGCATCGTATTAGATCACACAGACGCTCCTGGAGATTGGGTAAAAATACCAATATGCATGCATGCTAGATCCAGAACACAGAGTCACGCATATAAGTATATTAACCTAGCTCAAGAAGCGACAAACAAAACAGGTCTCCTCGTTCAGTAGGTGAAAACTTCGACAGAAGTTGTCTATCGAGATGAAAGCAGTAGAATTCACGTGAAATCAGTTTTTGAAAGTCTTGTGTGTTTTGTTAATTTTGGTTCATTTGTATGTTTCGGAGTTTAGTGTGGCGTCCATTTCCCTGAACTAGTATATGTTATTGTTTAGGGCCCAGCTGAAGCCCGTACCAAGTGCGGGATTTTCTCGCTGCGTCGAAGACCCATTGTTGGCATTGGGCTGTGTCTGCTCTTTTGTCGGGTTGTTGTCTCTTTGGTCGGGTTGTTGTCTCTTTGACACATTCCCCGTTTCTATTCTCTATTCTATATATTACGTCATTTAAATGAAAATGTCGATTTCAAAATTGATAGCTCATAAACTGATCATCACATTGCAATAATAATAATTCATGTATATCGCATATTTCTATTAATTATTCATACTTACACTATGTAATGTCAACTTCTTTTTCAACTGAATTAAATTGACGTTTTTTTTTATAAACGTAACCGTTCAAACTAAGTACACCTACAATTTGTAAAAAAAAGTTTTTTTTTTTTTTAAATTAGTTGGGCGAAGCTTATAATTCTTCAGTCTGACTAAAGTCAACCCCTACTATCCACTTTCGTTTATCAGCGCAATTGAATAGTTGGGACTTTAGTATGACTGACTGGTATATAGAACTGGAAACATGACGGCATGACGTTATCAGCCAATAAAAAAAAACAACAGTATTTATATGAATGGAAAGCCACTGTCAATTTTACGATTTGAACTTATATATATACAAAATTACGATTGGGATCCAATTTTTTAAGTTCACTGAACAAGGAAAATGATAGTGCAAGCGGGGCATGTTGACTGTCCTCCTACGAAAAATATTTTCTTTTTTTTTACTGCAGAAAATGCACGATACTATGTTTTTGTCGGTATAATACAAAGAGTATAAACATAGAAATAGCATTTGTACGAAAGGTTTCTGTGTGTTCTAGGGACCTCTTCTTTATTTCTTTATTTCTTAATTTTTTAGGCCATTTTTGTCTATTCTTAGTTTGGTTTGCCCATGATTCTCTATCCTTTATATTTAAGCACCCAATTTTCTCTATTTTTTATTATTTTTGTCTATTATTATCCTTTTTCTTTTTGCTCTTTATACTGCACTTTTTGTCCATTGTTTTCTATTCTGTAAACCCCATTTAAACCCTCATTAATAATGTCTTATGCTATATTTTTATAGGGCCATCATATCTACAGACGTATCTGATTATAACATCAGCCGGTATAGTTATAGTTTTCATTGGTATAGCATCATTTGTTCTCTACCAAAATCAAAGGCGTTATATCGCTGCTATTCAGAATCACCAGCATCACAGAGAAAATGACAGGAGGCCTACAGCAAACAGTTCCATAACTAGTGGATTAGAACAACATGAGCAAAACCATGAAACAATTCCAAAGGCTCAATATGACAAATCAGCTCACACTGACGTTCTTCGTCGTTCTCAAATCGACATTGAATCATCAACTATTGCGAATACTGAGTTAAAATCAATAAAAAGTTCGTATCAACCAGAACCCGAACAAAACGCTGGCGATTTGCCACTTCTAAGCAATCAGTCAAGTAGTATGAATACTGGTATTAGGAATCAGTACGAACAGCTGACTGACAACTGGTCAAATTGTTCACCAGTTTACCAACAGTGTGTGGAAAGTAGTGATCAGACAGAACTGAAAAATAAAAAGGTAGATACTACACAGCATATTTACGATGAATGTGATACATCCGTGCCAAACTCTGGAGTATACCAACCATTAGTGAAGGGATGTACAGATTCTGTTCAAAGCTATCTTTAAGAGGAAATAATCATTTTCGAGTTCTGGCATATGTCTCTTATTAATGGGTGTTCTTGGAGACTTTATATTTACCTCTAAAACTCTTAAAGCTAACATTTTGCCAAGTTCTTTCAAGATTAGTTATTGATCTGCCTGTTGGTAAAGGCATAGGCATTGTTCTATATTAAACTACCCATAAAAGATACCCTTGAGGACGTCTTATTTAAAAAAAAAACTCAATAGATAAGTGCCAGTTAGTTTAAATAATATGTATCGCTAAAACAAATCATCTTTAAAGGAGGTATAATATTCATATATATATATCAATCTTTGATGAAGACGTAGAAAATTAAGATCGTTCATGATAATATCTCACAAATATTAATATATTTATATGATAAATGCATTTGCCTTGCCCCGATTATGTATGCAATTATTGCAACTGAATGATAAACTCCAAAATTAATGCAGCGACTGGAGATATGTATTGAATGAACAACAGATAAAAGCATCGGACATGTATATGTGTATGTATAATCAATTATTTGCTTTGTGTTACTAGATAAGTTAAATTTTAAATGTTATTTGAGTAGATTTGATTTAGGATGAAACTGATAACAGAAAATATAGATTTTTTGTTTATTGTATAGTATTTGGTGATCTTTTGTGCTTCCATGAATCTAAATAGCTTCAGATACTATAGTATCTAAGATACGACGTAAACCAAGGTAAGAAAAAGTGATCAAATTGACCTATTGTTGTTTTGATTAAGACCGGTGTATAAAAATGCACGTCTAATAGCAAAGTAATAGTCAAGACTGAAAAAAATCCCATTTTGCAGACAATTGATTTTTCTAATCTGATATACAAGATTTGTCTTATTCCCAGAGAGTCATTGATAAATAAAAATAAAAGCAAATTTCCATATAACTAGCATCCAGACTAGCTGTCTATTGTTTTTAACTTCTAAATTGAATTTCCATGAATTAAACCAGTGAATACATACAACTGTACTCAATAATTTCAGTGATTTTGCAAAATCCCTAGTCAAAATGAGAGCTTTTATAAATTCCCAAATCAATTAAGTGATTATAGAAAACTAAAATTTCATATCTCATCTCTAAATTACATATGCAGAATTAAAAAAATAATCCAAATTTCACAGAAACCTATTCTGTTTCACATTTTTGTATCTAATTTGGAACATAAACTAGATCATGATTGGTAACAGTTTGAATATAAAGTTCAATTTAAATTTTCAAGGAATGCATGTTGTTTAAAATACTTCCTGTAAACGCCTTTAATTATTTCCTCATTGTTAGTAATGATTCATTATATTGTTTATTAATATGTATATACGTATATGTACGTTATTCAGTAAAATTGTACTTCTATATAAATTTACATGTTAACATTATGACAATACTGGTATAACAAGTCTCCCAGAAATCAATACCGGTGCTGTATCAAAAAAATGTGCACTAGATGAAAAAAGAGAGGCGAAAGATACCAAAGGGACATTCAAAATCATAAGTCAAAATAAACTGACAAAGCCATGGCTAAAAAAGAATGAGACAAACAACAGTACACAAAACACAACATAGAAAACTAAAGAATGAGCAACACAAACACCACCAAAAACTGACGGTGATCTCAGGTGCTCCGGAAGGGTAAGCATAATAAAATTATAATAAAAACGATTTTAATACAGTTTCTAGAATTGAACATACTTTTGCGTTTATTTATCTCTTGAAAAGAGGTGGAAGATACCAGGGGACATTCAAACCTCATTAGTCGAAGGGAACCTGACAACGTCATGACAAAATAAATTGCTTCGCCTAGCGCAGCTGGATACGACCGCAGAGGTCCAACCTTGAACAGTTTGGGCAAAAATGGACACAATAATCGTAATTGATAGAGGTCTGAATTTGGATTAAAATTAAATATCTGACACATAATAGGTTTCTGACACAGTATAACTGTAGTCAAAGAACTAAGAATCGGTTATATGATTTGAATTTATATTCAATTTTTTTGCTTTTGTGCAATACACTATGCTGTTGCGAATTGAACACCCCCCCCCCCCACCCCCCACCCCCCCCCCCCCCCCCAAATAAAAAAAATTCGCAACAGCATAGTGTATTGCACAAAAGCCCAAAAAAAAAGGGGTACATTTTTTTGGGGCTTTTGTGCAATACACTATGCTGTTGCAAATTGAACATCCCCCCCCCCCCCCAAATAAAAAAAATTTACTCCCCCTTTTTTGGCAAAATTTTTTTTTCACCCCATCCCTTTTATTTTTTACAAAAAAAAAAATAATATTTGAAGAATTTTTCTTTTTAATTTCTGAAATCTGTAATGAGAAAAAAAAAAATGTCACCCCCCCCCCCGCCCCAATTTTTTTTTCACCTCCCCTTCCCCTTTTTCCAAAGAAAAAAGTTTCCCTCAAGATATGGTCATTACCTCAATTCAAATTTCCAATGGAGTTTGCAACCATAATTACCCATTTAAATACATCATAAAAGTCTTAAAATAGAAAATGACATACATAACCATGTCTAAAAATAATATATCTTTAATCAGCATTTTTATTAGTAACTTCTAAAAATAAATTGACAGCTAATCACCTCAAGACAATACAAAATTTCTTTATACATAGTTTTAAAGCAGTGTTAGGGAGGTAATCCAAAAACATTGTACTAAAAGTGATTGTCCATTAACATAGAAACCCTTGTTTTCCCCCTAATTCCTAAACGGTTTGAGCCAATACCCCCAAAAGCCAATTCTAACCATCCCTTTGTGGTATTGAAACTTGTTGTACAATTTTAGAGAGATCCATACACCGTTCCACAAGTTATTGTCTGAATACTAGAAAAATGCTTATTTGGGTCCCTTTTTTGGCCCTTAATTCCTAAACTGTTAGGACCATAACCCCCAAAATCAATCCCAACCTTCCTTTTGTGGTTATAAACCTTGTGTTTAAATTTCATAGATTTCTATGAACTAATACTAAAGTTATTGTCCGGAAACCAAGTGTCTTCGGACGACGACGACGTGATACCAATACAAGACCGCAAAATTTGTTTGCGTTCGTACGAAAACGAAAGACGACAAAAAGACAAACCAATCCACTAAACACCATATTTGAGCATTACGAACCATATAAAAACTGGGGTGATCTCAGGTGCCCCGGAAAGGGTAAACCGATCACCCGCCATGATGCTCATGATAAATACAAATTGATGCCACAATCGATGAACAAGAGGACGGGACTGTTGTTACGACAGAACATATTCGTGGTCATCCTTGACACAGATCTCCGGTAAACCAACTAGACTTAGTGATAGCGTCCGTAAAATTCGAAGGAATGACTTCAGTTTTACTATACTTGGAATCCTTCGATTCAACGAGCTTCCTCGTAAGCAGCAACCCTCTATCAAGGAAATCATGATAGGAAACGCAAGCTCTGGAATATCGTATCAACTGGGAGATATAAACTTCATATGCAGGCACTGTTGGAATGTTACTACATACCAATTGGAAAGTTCCCAATTTAGAAGCTGAAATCATCCGTTTAGTCGTAACTTATTTGTTCTCAACCGACCCTCGTTGTCAATTTCTAGATGTAAGCCAAGATATGAAGCAGACTTAACTGTATCAGTGGTATCCTTCATTTCAAGTCCGATAATTTGAATTGTTTAGCCAGAGGACATTATCTATATAGCAGAACGTGAAGTTAAAGGATGCTAGATTCTTTTCATTTTCCACAAGAAGCTCTTGAATGAAGTATACATCATATAAATAAAGGAAAAAGGACAAGAAGTGGAGCACAGTTGGATTCCACAGAAATGCCGATCATTATTGAAAAACACGTCCTCCAAAAGTAGCAATCCTGTCAATAAAAAAATAAGTATTTTGATGTCAGTTTCAGAGAATTGTTATTTGAATCGGAGTTTTTATTTGATAAAGTATGATTTATCCTTTCCTATTTTGTTCTTATAAAACACCCATGCAACCACGCATCCCATATTGTCTGATAGGACTCTAAAAGAGCTTTGGAATTTCTCAGTAACATCTGATTCACACCAACCCGAGAGTAGGTAGTTCGATTGCTGATAAAATTCATATTAAGTTTGACCGAAGTTTCGTGTAGCATTTGGCAGATGCGGAAATAAAACGTTGTTTTTAGGACACTTGTGTAATTTTGGTATACAGTACAGAGAAGGATTGTCATCTTTAGTTGAAATCACAAAAGGAACATCGAACACACCTATAATTATTCAGGATTTTTGGGAATTTATCAACGGAGACAACAACATATTTGTCATGTAGGTTGGACAAGCGCTTAGCAACATTTGGGTCTTTTGAGAAAGATGTAGCAAGAGTGTACATAGACCATTTAAATTTTTGCCTCAACCGATCCAGAAAGAGTGTCTACGTGTCTTAAAAATACGAAAGTATTTAAAAAATTTGTTCTAATTTATGGATTTACGGTAACAGTATTTGGGTCCTTCGGTCAACACATTTCGTAAAGAGGTGTTGTTGACAATGTTCAGGTCACTAGTAATAAGGTGGTCAGCCAGATTATATATGAATGGGGAAATAGCACAGTTGCAATCAAGTGGTTAAGACACTGATATCCTGTAATACGTGTTTATAATTAATTATTTTAGAACTTTGATGGCAAAGAAAAGCTATAGAATAAAATGCTCCGCTGTGCGCAGCTTGATACGACCGCAGAGGTCGAACCCTGAACAATTGAGGCAAGTATGGACACAACATTCAAGCTTGATACAGTTCTGAATTTGGATTGTGATTAAATATTTGACACAGCATAGGTTTCTGACACAGAATGAATGTGGTCTAAGAACTTATTTTTTTTTAATTTACCTATTATGGTCCAATATCCAAAATCTAAATACATACACGGTTAGATTCAGCATAAAGAACCCCAATAATTCAAATTCTGTTAAAATCAAACTAAGTTTAATTTTGGACCCTTTGGACCTTAATGTAGACCAATTTGAAAACGGGACCAAAAATACGAATCTAAATACACGGTTAGATTCAGCATTTCAAAGAACCCCATAATTTCAATTTTTGGTGAAATCAAACCATATCATTATTATTTGCATTTATATCTAAATAAAAAATAACCAACTTAAAATGGAAAATTTTAAAGAACCCCCCCCCCCCCCCCAAATATTTTGAACCCCCTTATGTTTCATCACCCCCAAAATCAATCCCAGCCTTCCCTTTGTGGTATGGTACCTTGCAGTACAATTTCAGAGAGATCCATACACTTGAACACAAGTTATTGTCTGGAAACTGTAAAAATGCGTTTTTTGGCCCCAAATTTCCTAAACGTTTAGGGCAATTACCCCCAAACTCAAACCCAGCTTTCCCTTTGTGATATGGAACCTTGTAGTACAATTTCATAAAGATCCATACACTTACAAGTTATTGTCCTGAAACTATAAAAATGCTTGTTTTTTGCCCCCAATTCCTAAAATTTTGAGGCAATTACCCCCAAACTCAATCCCAGCCTTCCCTTTGTGGTATGGTACCTTTCAGTACAATTTCAGAGAGATCCATACACTAAATCACAAGTTATTGTCCGGAAACTAGAAAAATGGTTATTTGTGGCCCCTTATTCCTAAACGTTTTGGGCAATTACCCCCAAACTCAATTCCAGCTTTCTCTTTGTGATATGGAACCTTGTAGTACAATTTCAGAAAGATCCACACACTTACACACAAGTTATTGTTAGGAAACTAGAAAAATGATTGTTTTTTGCCCCTTTTTTTGCCCTAATTCCTAAAATTTTGAGGAAATTACCACCAAAATCAATCCCAGCATTCCCTTTGTGATATGGAACCTTGTGGTACAATGTCAGAGAGATCCATACACTAACACACAAGTTATTGTCTGGAAGTTACAAAAATGCTTATTTTTGGCCCCTAATTCCTTAACTGTTGGTGCCATAACCCCCAAAATCAATCCCAACCTTCCTTTTGTGGTATTGAACCTTATGGTAAAATTTCATAGAGATCCATTTACTTAAACTAAAGTTATTGTCTGGAAACTAAATGCGTCTTCGGGCGACGCAGACGACGACATGATAGCATTATATTTTTGCGGTCGTATAAAAAATATCGGTTACATCATTCCCAATTCCAACTGGTCTGAAAAGTCTGTGATGGGCAATATCCGAGAGGATAGCTGTAAGTTTGTATTGGTTTGAATGGGTATTTGTATCTAGTTTACAGAGGTTAAGAGAATGAAGTTTTGAAATGGATAGTGAATATAGCTTTGTGCAGTTGTGATGAATACCCAACAACCTCTGTATAAATGACAAACATCATGACGAGCAGGTGATATATAACAAGAACCATCGCTTCGTCTACATTGGATAGCAGTATAATGAAAATTGATTGAAAGATTGAAAAATAAAAATAAACAGCAAACAAACAACAAAATAACACAAAACAAACAAAAGACATCTAAGAGGTCAACACACCGTGATATACTCAAGGTTTTCATTTGTTTTGTTGAAGCCAGACATATATACGTATACATGTCTCTGTTGAAGCCCACCTTTTTCTAATGCTTTCTATAAGCTCCTTCAGTTTGAAAATCTGATAAAGCATGCCTCATATGTAGACAAGTTCATTTGTACCAGATCACTCAATTAACTGTCGACACAGAGATGTCTCCTGGTCTGTAATTTTGATAATAAAATGCAAATGTTGAAATTGAAATAGCATTATTTGAATACAATGTATGTGAAATATGCAAAATATTCAGTCGATGAACCATGACTTAAGGTACAAGGCAAAATGGCAAAATATTTTCCTTGGAAATGAAGATATGCCAAACCTTAAACAACTGGATACAAAATATTATTGACTTTTAATATCACAAGTAGTTCTCCATAAACTGACCTAATAACAAACTACCATTTAAACTAAGGAAATGTGTTAGATAATATAAATAAGAAGATGTGGTATGAGTGTATATGTATTTTTGGGTGTTTCATAATTTGTTTGTATAGCAGTAAGAAAAGACATTTTTATACTGTTTTGTTGAGTTAGTGCCTTTAAAAATTGATCACTTAACCTGCAATAACTATAGAACAAATTAAAACTCAGACAATATCCACTGAAGATAAATCATTCAAGTCGTGGTGTATAATTTATTGATAAAAAAAGGGTAAAAGAAATCAAGACTGAACTTTCTAGATAGCGGCTAATGATTAACTTGAATGCAATCATCAACCAGGATCTGTTTTGTCCTACAGGTACTACTGTATATTTATACTGACTTATCCTCCCAAACTTTTGTCCTACAGGTACTTCTGTATATTTATACGGACTTATCCTCCCAAACTTTTGTCCTACAGGTACTTCTGTATATTTATACTGACTTATCCTCCCAAACTTTTGTCCTACAGGTACTTCTGTATATTTATACTGAATTGTCCTCTCAAACTTTTTCATCAAATATTGTTTCATTTTTTTTATGAAAATGTAAAAAAAGGTTTCCAATGTAAATATACGGTGACCTATAGTTGTTAACTTTTACATCATTTTGGTCTCTTGTGGGAAGTTGTCTCATTGTCAATCATACATCTTATTTTTATATACCAGACTAACAAAACAAGGCACAATATTTAAACAGAAAAACATGATGTAATTTTGGATGAATTAAACCTTGGGAGTCCCTGTAACTTCCAACTTGTTGAGGTTATACTGAATAAACAATTATTACAACTATGCTTAGATCTTCTAAATTTAACTTCTGTATGGTGTGGGTTAGAGAACAACCCCTAAAAAGAAATTCCTATAACCACATTTAGATTGCTGGTATGAAAACAGAACAGTTCCAGTTACTTGCTCAATGCTGGTGGTTTACCCCAGCACTAAGGATTCTTAAATAAGTAAAACTGACTTCCATGAAGTTGTATTGAAGGTGTAATGCTACACAATAGAAACAGCTATGGACAAGGCAAATATCTTGTAGAACAAAATAAAAATCATTAAATGTCACTTTTATATCTTTATTTCAAGTACTTCTTTTACATTTTTTTTTTCTTTCTTTCTTTCGTTCTTTCCTTTTTTTTTTAACCTTTTTTTAAAAATTGATTTCTTTTATTCCTATATTTTTTTTTATTAAGATCACCAATATTTTCCTTTCTTTTTTTTAGATTCATCCCACCTTAATTTTTTCTCCCTTTTTTTCTCTCACCATTCAGATATTTTTTTCTCTGCTTTTTATTTATATCTCATTATTTTTTCAACTTATTTTTTTTCTCCTTTTCTATTTTTCTCTTTTGCTTTTTTTTAACCCTCCCTCCTGATTTTCTCCTAGTCTAAATCCTTTCCAAAAGCAAGGCATAACATTTCTAAAAAAATGAAAATTATTGCACATTAAAACAATTACATATGCCTTGCTGTTGGAAAGCAACAAAACCAACAGATGTTGGCATTGCTGGTCAGCTCTGATGGTGGCAAACCTGAAAAAGAACCTGTCAATCAATGAATCAAGACAAGTTACACCTTTATATTTGACCAATCAAACTCAAACATGATCTGTCTGTCAATTGAAGAATGCAAATTACATGCCTACATTGTTCCAAATTAGTTCCCATATGAAGAAGGTTCCTTAGTATCATGGACTAACCCATTTGACAATTATCAATCAAAATTACTTGAAACATAGAAATGTCTATAGGTACAATTGTTTTTTTATGTTTAATGTTTTTATAGACAAAGGAAACATTTTTGGTGTTTTCTCTTTTTTATTGTTCATACTTTGCAAACAAGCATGAAATCTTTTAATAAAATTTAAAAATATTTCTGTTTCTTAACCTATTTTCTCTTTTTTTCTTTGACAGGGATTTATAAATCTGCACGTTTAATTTTAAAATTTAAAAGAGTAAAACATTTCTTTTTTTTTTAAAACAATTTGCCTTTTTTCTAATGTTAAAGAGCTGTACAACAGTTTTTATATGATAAAATGAAAGATATTTATAGCAAAATGATAAATAAATTTGGCATCTTCTGGACTGGTAAAATGACCACAATTTTTTGGTCGCCGTAAAATATGGTTCTTCAATATGGGGAGTAGTATGTTGCCCTTCTGAATCGACTGAAAAGATAAAAACATAAAAGATTAATACAAATAACACAAGCTCAAAATCCTTATGAATCAAATCTGCGATCAATTTAAAATTTCTAAACTACACATATCAAATTTTTGAAATATTCCAAAGGTTACTTATATCCACAACTCAAATAAGTAAATGCCATGTACTTTTACTATTTTGTCCAATATAAGTTCCTATAGTTGTGATGTCCATAGGCATTAGGTAATCTGTTCTTATACATGTCTTTTAAACCTAATCTTAATGACAGTATATCACCATCAAGTTATAATAACATTAAATCTGAGATTTCTTTTCAATTTTTGAATTGAAAACACAAATTGAAATATTAAACCTTCATATATTTAATATAGTAGATTGTAAACTGAGATTGATTCCAGGTCTATTTGTGTATTCCCCTTCCAGCTGGATTAACCTGAAAATAAGCATGATTTCAAGATAGCTGCAGAGTTTGTTTCTCTCACACATTTATACCCTTTAAGGTAGATGGGGGGTCTTAATTCAAATCCATAGAATTTTTTGATAATTTGTCAAAATGAAGTTTATATCATGCTTTTTTCAAAAATTTAATAAAAAGTATGGGTCTCCGTGCTTTTTTTCACGCTACGGGTTGAGCAAAATTGTCAGATTTTGTATAGATTATGCATGGAAAACCCAAATTTGGGTGATAAAAAGAAAACTACACCATAGAATTTTAAAATAAAATATGAGAATATAGCTCTAATAATTTGCTTTCAGATAAGAAAATAAAATAATGGGGTCACGGGACTTGTTTTCTTACTACATTATAAAAGAGGTAAATTCACAACACATTCTATTACAAAAGTTACTTTATCGAGTTATCTCCCCTTTTATCTGAGTTATCTACCCTTATATGGCAAAATTAAAAAAAAAATGAATAAAACAAAAATAATCTGATTTTTGTAAAATATAGCTGTAAATATGATAAAACACATAATTTTCTATATTAAAATGAAAAGTCTTACACATAAATTACATACCACTCTTAAAATTTGCACATTTCATTAAAGATCTAGACCGAATGTTATCTGCTTTTTCAAAATCCAAGATGGAGGAAGACACCCTATCTACCTTAAAGGTTATAAATTCACTGTTTAATTAAAGTCAAAGGCAAGGCTGCCATTGCATCTTTCAATGATGTCGCACCATCACTCATTTCAATAAAATTACATGCGATGTCCTGCTAAGCATACACCCACTCGTAATCAGATAACTGGATGTAAGTGTCTCTCAGATCTGAAAAGCACTCGCATGTTACAAATCATAATTTCCAAGCTGCTGACTAATATGAAGTGATACTGTTCAGTAGCACTTGAGAAAATGGTGACGAAACATATTGAAAAATTCAAAGTATCTGACAGATCAAAATAGTGGTTACACATTACTACTTATAATTATCAAGCTAATATGAAGTCATTCTGTTCAGTAGTACCTGAGAAAAGTGTGACGGAAATATTTGTTGTAAGTATGGACAGATAAGGTGAATGCAATATAGCCTCTAATCCTAGATTGGGAATATAAAATAACAAATCACAGTGCACGATGAAAGAACTTTTACTTGAGTGGAAAATTACTATGTGGTAGAGATCTGTCTTGATAACAATGAAATAATAATCATTTCCAAGTTTCGTTTTTTTGCCTTATCTTTGGATTTGTTTTTTTTTTTCAAATTCTCTTTTTACTTAAGCATTAAGGGGATCAGTTTGTGCAAGTCATAATCAATGTTATAAATTCAAATTTCTTACCAAGTTAGACCAAACTTGAATATGCATACATGTGGGTTAGAACTGATTATAATGATCCAGCCAACAATATCAATGTTCTGAATTCACTGTCTTAACACTTAAATGGCATTACCACAAATGTACAATGTGAGACAGCAGAAGAGCCTGACATTAAGTACAACAACAATATCGCTTTAAAGTACATTATTGCGTTTTTATCTTTTTTTCATAGACTTAAAATACAATGCCTATGTTGGCCTTGACTGATGAAACCCCGTTTTTTCAGTATTCAGATAATTTGGATATTAGGATAAAAAAATAAATGGTGAATAAAATTTCCCTGGTTTAATTTGTATTCTCATTGTAAAAATTGGGTTTCAGTTGCTGAAAGTCCACATTGCAGTTCATATTCTTATGTATACTAAAATAGGCACGACTGCTAAAATAATTCTTGCTTTCAAAATGAGGAGATAACACTAATTAAAAATGTCATCCACAGATTTCTTACTTGGACAATTATTGGTAAAGAGAGATAACTCGTGTTAATTTGATTCTTATATTCTAGCTAATTTCAAAGACCAAATGAGCTCTCAAAAATAAAATGCTGCAAATTACCTCCAAAACAATATTTTACTTGTGCAGTAAAGAAAAGAATTGATGAAAGAGAAAATAAGATGCCACAATATTGGCTGAAAATTGTAATTTGTGAAAATAATTAGATGTGAAATTCAGTTGATTTACAGTATAACAAATTGGTAAAAAAAAGACTACTTATACAAGAATGTCTGAAGGTTCTTTGGACTTGTATTTTTGTTTTCTATTATCCTACCTGAATCTGCCTCTTGGTCTTGGTTGGTAATATCCCCCTGGTGAACCTCTATAACCCCCTCCTCTACCACCTCGTGGTCGTCTGTTGGTTGAACTGATACCTGGTCTGTTGGTTCTTTTAGCTGTTACCTTTAACAAATATAACACAAAACTGTACAATATACAAAAGGAAATTCAATTTAAGATCTAGCTTAAGTAATTGACCTGATGCCCTACAGAATTCTCATTTATGGCAAGCTGATAGATCTATTTTAAACAGACATACATAAAATATGGAAATACATTCGATATTTGCATTTTTTTCATAATGATAAATAAATTAGCTTCACGTGAAAAGTGGACAAATTTTGGTTCAGGTTCATGTTGTATGCCTAAATGAAGTTTAATTGTAATGTCATGAAATTTCAAGTTCTACAATGAAGCAATAAATTATAAGATGGCAGTCATTTGACTTAACCTTAGTATCATTCTTATTTGAGATTTGTTATGTTTATAGTGAAAGTCATGGTAGTAATTTATTATAATATTTGTATATTTGATAGGAAGCTGTAATGTCATGAACATTTTGAATTCTACAATGAATGATTTATCATTAGATGGCAGTTCTTTGACTTAACTTTAAAATCATTCTTCTTCATATCATGTTAATAGTGAAAGTCAACATAAATGTAGTAGTAATTCATTAAAAAATTGGATTGTTAAGAAACAGAGACCTCAATCAGTGCATTTTGCATGGTTCTCACTAAGGATTTTTAACGGCAAGTTAATTGACTCACAATTTATGACCATCCATAGTCCAGACAGTAAAAAGAAAAGTGATGTCACTGCTATTATTTAAGTTTTCATGACAAAACAAGCAACAAAATGATGATATTTGTGCTCAACTGATACATCAATGCAGCTCTGGACTCACAGGTTCAGAAAATGATGAGTCCAGACAGATTTTCATTAGTCCAGGATTCCTGGACTCAACTATTAAAGTGAGAACCCTGTTTTGTTTGATAATAATAATTTCGTTTTTTCTATGTTTGAAGCATTTAATTGTTTTTAACAAATCCTTTCCCATACTCTTGGTTCATTCTGAGTTACTACATGTATATATGCCCTATATTATTCATCTTTGCTAGCCAAGGGTTACGATCCACTTCCCTCCTCTCCACCCTTGGCGGATTGAGATAGAATTTCGGAGACACAAGGTAATGATTTTCATTGGTTGCAGTCGAAACTCGCTGCATCCAATCAAAAAGCGCCTATAACATGATCACGTGTAAATGTAGAAAGTGTATGTAAACAATTGGCACATGCTTATTGTGCAACAAGTCTTTACATCCCTAAACATACGACTATATTTAGTGACAATTTGAATGTTTTTAATCAATTAATAGAAGTTCCTGTGTATGGTTCTTGCACAAATGCATGAATGTCAATGTATATTTTCGTTTCCTGCTTTACCAAGTGTGTAGAATCTAGACGCTACCGTGTTTTTACCTCCAAATTGAAGAGTTCAAGTGCTACCATTGGTCAAGAATAATGTATTCGGAATGGGCATGACTTTAATCTACCGATAGATGGCGCAACATTGTTATCATAAATGTTGGCTTAATCTGACAAGGGTGGAGAGGAGGGAAGTGGATCGTAACCCTTGGCTAGCGAAGATGTATATTATTATTTATCTTGCAATTAAGCATATCTAAGAATCAAAAAGAATTTAAGATTAAAATTTCTGAAATGAACATTCCCTGAAAAAATATGACTTTTGCAATTTGCTGATTTAAATTGTATTGATTGATTGTATGCACACTTCTCATATATAGTCACTGGCCATATTAAGCCTTATTTGTGATAAGATTAAATTGATATCAGTAAAATTTTATTCATGACATTAAGTAATACAAGTTTGTGGCATTTGTACATTATACACTTAACAATGGTCAAATTCATCAAAAATATGTAGTTTTGAGTGTTGCAGTATGAAAATAAAATGCTTCGCTGGGGCGCAGCTTGATACGACCGCAGAGGTCGAACCCTGAACAGTTGGGGCAAGTATGGACACAAAATTCAAGCTTGATACAGCTATGACTTTGGATTGTCATTAAATATTTGACACAGCATAGGTTTCTGACACAGGATGAATGTGGTGTAAGAACTGGAAAAAATTTAATTTACCTATTATGGTGGAATATCCATAAACTAAATTGTTTGTTAATTTCAATATATCAAAGAATATGTAGAATTCAATGTTTGATGTAATGTAATAAAGTTGAAATTTGGACCGTTTTTGTTCAATGTGGACCAATTTGGTAACATGTATAAATAATCAAAAATCTAAATACATGGGAGCCCATTTAAATACATCATAAAGGTATTAAAATAGAAAGTGACATCATAGTCATGGCTAAAAATAAACAAAAATCCTTAATCAGCAACATTTAAAGTAATATCTAAAAATAAAATTCCTTTGTAACCATAAAAGCCCATTTAAATACATCATAAAGATATTAAAATAGAAAATGACATCATAGTCATGGCTAAACATAGCAAAAAACCCTTAATCAGCATCATTTAACAGTAATATCTAAAAATAGAAATTACATCATAAAGGTATTAAAATAGAAAATGACATCATAGTCATGGCTAAAAATAAACAAAATCCTTAATCAGCATCAGCAACATTTTATAGTAATATCTAAAAATAAAATTCCTTTGTAACCATAAAAGCCCATTTAAATACATCATAACAGATATTAAAATAGAATATGACATCATAGTCATGGCTAAACATAGCAAAAACCTTAATCAGCATCATTTAACAGTAATATCTAAAAATAAATATTTCTTTGCAACCATAAAAGTAAAATAGAAAATGACATCATAATCATAGCTAAAAATAAACAAAAACTTTTTTTATTGGCAAATTTTAAATGGAGTTTATTATACTAAAACAATAAATTTGCAACCATAAACATGATAAAACCCCATTTAAACACATCATAAAAGTATTAAATAATTCAACTACATCATAAGGCTATAAAAATAGAAAATGACTTCATAGTCAAGGCTAAAGGTAAACAAAAAACCTTCATCAGCAAAATTTTATATTGGCAAATTTCCAATGAAGTTTATTACACTAAAATTGTTGGCAAATTTCCAATGCATTTATTAACAATAAAGTTATTGGCAAATTTCCAATTTACATAATTTAAAAGCAGTGTAGATGAGATATTTAAATGAGTTTGAATTACCAACCTTACACTGCTTTTAAATAATGTTCTTTACTCAATTATTTGTCTATTAAAATGGAAACCCTTGTTTTTTAACCTTTTTTCCCCTTATTCCTTAAACATTAGAGCCATAACCCCCCCCCCCCAAAGCCAATTTTTACTTTCCAATGTAACCTAAATTTCCAATATACATAATTTTAAATTTCAATTCCTCATGATATATAACCGTATCATTATTATCTTCTTTCATATATAAATCTGAAACAACCATCTTTAAATGGAAAATTTTAAAGAAAAAAAAAGGAAAAAAAAAAATCCTACCCCCACATTTTTTCAACCCCCTTTTGATTCATCATCCCCCACCTCAATCACAACCTTCAATTTGTGGTATGGTACATTGCAATACAATTTCACAGAGATCCATACACTTGAACACAAGTTTTTGTTGCAAACTAAAAAAATCCTTATTTTCGACCAATATTTGGCCCCTTATTCATAAATGTTGGAGCAATTAACCCCAAAACTCAATTCCTACTTTCTCTTCGTGATAAAAAATAATTAACTTAAAATGTAAATTTTAAACAAAAAAAAAAGGAAAAAAAAAAATTACCCCTTTTTTGACCCCCGCCCCCCTTATGATTCATCACCCCCACCCCCCTTTCCCCCCAAACCAAGCTCAATAACAGCCTTGCCTTTGTGGTATGGTACCTTGTAATACAATTTTAGAGAGATCCATACACTTGAACACAAGTTATTGTCTAGAAACTAAAAAATGCTTATTTTAAACCCCTTTTTAGGCCCCTTATTACTAAACGTTTTGGGCAATTACCACAACACTCAATTCCAGCTTTCCCTTTGTGAAATGGAACCTTGTAGTAAAATTTCAGAAAGATCCATACACTTACACACAAGTTATTGTCATGAAACTAGAAAAATGCTTGTTTTTTGCCCCCTTTTGGCCCCTTATTCCTAAAATTTTGAGGCAATTAACCCCAAAATCAATCCCAGCATTGACCCTTTGTGATATGGAATCTTGTGGTACAATGTCAAAGAGATCCATATGCTAACACACAAGTTATGTCTGGAAGTTACAAAAATGCTTATTTTTCGGCCCCTTTTTGGCCCCTAATTCCTTAACTGTTGGTACCATTACCCCCAAAATCAATCCCCACCTTCCTATTGTGGTATTGAACCTTATGGTAAAATTTCATAGAGATCCATTCACTTAAACTAAAGTTAGAGTGCGAAAACCATTGTGTATTCGAACGACGACGCCGGACGACGACGACGACGACGACGCCAACGTCATACCAATATACGACCTCAAAATTTTTTTGCGGTCGTATAAAAATAACCATTTATACATTGTCTCATTTCTAATACTTAACTGTTCTCTGCAACAAACAGGATATAATGCACAGCAAGACTTACAAAATTATTTACCAATTCTAAGCCTCATTCAAATAATTGAGTTATTCTGATACACTTCAAATATTTGTGACTGTATAACAAGATTGATAATATCTTAGTATACAAGGTACATTCTATCCAGTGTTGCTGGATAAATAATTCTATGTTCCATATTTACATACTTTTATTTGTCTTCCTCTAAAGATTGATAATATCTTAGTATACAAGGTACATTCTATAAATAATTCTATGTTCCACATTTACATACTTTTATTTGTCTTCCTCTAAATATTTACATACTTTTATTTGTCTTCCTCTAAATATTTACATACTTTTATTTGTCTTCCTCTAAATATTTACATACTTTTATTTGTCTTCCTCTAAATATTTACATACTTTTATTTGTCTTCCTCTAAATAAAGAATCATCTAATGCTTGAGCTGTTGTTACTGAATCCTTGTCTGCAAATTCTACATAGGCAAACCTTCAAAATGACAAAAATATAGTTTGAATGAATACCAAACAAATATTTTAATGTTCAAAAAAATGAACTAGGAAAGCCAAGACATTAAATCATCTTTGCTATACAAGTGTCATTCTTTAAAAATATTATATTCAACAAGTATTTTGTGTTTATTGTGGAGATTTAACTTTTGTATTTAAACTTTTAATACTTTTTTTAAAAGAAAATAATCTATATTTATTGAAACAGATTTATTCTTTAGACAGGTCATCTTCAAACAGTAACATGAGTTATTTTCAATTGTTTACTAAACCAATTAAAACAAGAGGCTGTTAGATTGACAGCAAACTGGAATTTCCTGCATGAAAATGATATTTGCAGATCTGGTCCCCCAAACAGGATCAAATAAAATAAATGGGGAAAGTGTCCATGGGACACAGATGATGCCCCTGCTTGCATATATTGTTAAAAGGGATTTAACTCAATAACTGTAAAAGTGACTCAACAAAAATTTGTACTTGATCTGAGTTTTGTGGTAATAAGCATTGTGTATACGTTTCATAACATAGATCTGTGTTTTGTGGTAATTAGCATTGTGTATAAGTTTCATAACATTTGGTTGAGGCAAACTAAAGTTAGAGAACAGAAACGAATATTTCAGCAACTTTTCCATTTGTAAAGGGGCATAACTCTAGAACGGTAAAAATGACACCACCAAAATTCCAACTTGATCTGTGTTATGTGGTAATAAGCATTGTGTATAAGTTTCATAACATTTGGTTGAGGCAAACTAAAGGAGAGAACAGAAACAAAAAAATTCAGCAATTTTTCCATTTGTAAAGGGGCATAACTCTAGAACGGTAAAAGTGACAGCACCAAAATTCGAACTTGATCTGTGTTATTTGGTAATAAGCATTGTGTATGAGTTTCATAACATTTGGTTGAGGCAAACTTAAGTTAAAGAATGGAAACCAATTTTGGGATGTACGGACGGACGTACAGACGGACAAGGGTAAAACTTAATGCCCCCTCTGCAACGACGGGGGCATGAAAATGTTAATTAATTTTTGTAGTGTTCAGAAATGGAAAGGCAAAAATCAATTTAAGTATCACTTTTCACTACTTAAAGGTACTACTCAACAACTATAAAAGTTAAAATTGTGCAAATCAAACTTGACCTTCAATTAGTCACAGGAAACAACATATCTAAATTTGAAAAGATTTCGTTAAAGTGTTTTTAAGTTATTGCATGGACACTGTTTGCCAGCTGCCCGCCGTACATCACCAAATTAATAACCGATATTTTCCTTTGAAAATCCAGTAAACAATATTACAAACTATTTTGACTGTTCTGTTTAGGTTGTATTGGTATGGCTAAGCATACCTGATGAAAGTTATTACAGGAACATGTGCCTAGCACATACTAAAATTAGTATCATGCATACACAGAGACAATATTTACCCTTTAGGGTGTCCTGTGAATTTGTCACATAAGATAGTAACTCTGTTTACTGAACCACATCCATGGAAATGTTGTTCCATTTCTTCTGCAGTGGCACCATAATCTACCTGTAAATAAAGAGTCAAATAACTAAACATGTCTGTACACAACTATATAGTCAAACTTCAAAGGTTTAAAACTTTTGGGTTATATCTGAACACACATCTTTCAAATTAAATTTTGATTCACATCTTCAAATAATTACTAGGAATGTGTTAAGCTTAATTGTATCTTGCAAGAAAAATAGTCAACATTTTTCTCAGTAACATGATTGTGGTCCACTTTTCATCCTTTACTAAAGATCTTGATGTTACTACATGAACACATGACTTATCTTCAGCTTGCTGTTCATGAAACTTTATTAGATCACACAACATCCTAAAAATTGACACAATGTCAATTCTGTTTATATGCATTCTTAAGTTTTGCAAAGAAAAATATAAACCCTAACGACTTACGCCGAGATATTCTATTTCAAATTTGGCAAGTTCAATACTTTCAATATGACTGTACATTTTTGTAACACATGTAATAAAATTAATTTCGGGAAATAATTTATGCATTTAACTTGTACAGGTGTTAACTTACTTGCATTGATATTCTAATACCCTTTTTCTTAATACTATGTTGTTGCTTCATGTCATTATACTGTTTTTCCAAAATAACATGTTGTGTTGTTTATATAAATATCTAGAAACTACACTCCAACTTTTTAAAGACTGTATTTTAAATGGATTGTAGTAGAGACTAAATAAACTATATTCTGAAGCTACTATCTAAACAACTTACATTACCAACATATATAGACCTTGCATCTGCATCTATTTTTTCTTCTACTGTTGGGAAACCAGCTAAAAATATTAAATAATTGTGATTTATATAAGCAAATTTTGCATTGAAGAACATATTCTTAAATTTGAAAAAAAATGCATTAATTATAAAAACCTTTAGTATCTGATGTTAAAATATTCATGTCTTAACAAGCTTAAGGTGGCTGGGGCGTCTTAATTAAAATCGATAGAATTTTTTGATAATTCGTCAAAATGAATTTTTATCAATGCTTTTTTCAAAAAAAGTATGGGTCACCGGACTTTTTTTCACACTACAGGTTGTGCAAAATTGTAAGATTTTGTATAGATTATGCATGGAAAATCAAATTTTGTGTGATAAAAAGAAAACTACTTGATAGAACTTTAAAATAAAATGTGAGAAGATAGCTCTTATAACATGCTTTCAGAGTAGAAAAAGAAAAATGGGGTCAAAAAACTTGTTTTCTTGCTACATATCAAAATAGGTAGATTCACAACACTTTCTATTATAAAAATTACTTTATCTGAGTTATCTCCCCTTATTTGGCAAAGATGAAAATCAAAGAGCTGAAAGCTCTGAGGAAAAATGACGCCTCTTTTATTGGGATATTTCTTATGCAAGTCTTGATTTTCACATAATTTACCTACTGAATCTTAAGAGACTTTTCAGTTCATGGTAGGTATGCTGACTGACAATAGAATAAAAATGAATTGTTTTCAATGCCTATGGCTTTTTTATTTGTTTGTCAAGATATATATTTATATATGCATGTGTGAAGTGAATATAAAAAGAAGAGGTGGTGTGATTGCCAATGAGACAACTCTCCACAAGAGACAAATGACACAGAAATCAACAACTAAAGGTCACTGTAAGGCGTTCAAAAATGAGAAAAGCGCATACCGCATACTCAGCTATAAAAGGCCCCGAAATGACAAATGTAAAACAATTCAAACGAGAAAACTAACGGCCTAATTTACGTACAAACTAGAGGCTCTAAAGAGCCTGTGTCGCTCACCTTGGTCTATGTGCATATTAAACAATGGACACAGATGGATTCATGACAAAATTATGTTTTGGTGATGGTGATGTGTTTGTAGATCTTACTTTACTGAATATTCTTGCTCCTTACTATTATCTCTATCTATAATGAACTTGGCCCGGTAGTTACAGTGGAAAATACTTTTAAAAATTTACAAAAATTTACAAAATTTATGAAAATTGTAAAAAATTGACTATAAAGGGCAATAACTCCTTAAGGGGTCAATTGACAATTTTGGTCATGTTGCCTTATTTGTAGATCTTACTTTGCTGAACATTATTGCTGTTTACAGTTTATCTCTATCTATAATAATATTCAAGATAATAACCAAAAACGGCAAAATTTCCTTAAAATTACCAATTCAGGGGCAGCAACCCAACAACGGGTTGCCTGATTGGTCTGAAAATTTATGGGCAGATAGATCTTGACCTGATAAACAATTTTACCCCATGTCAGATTTGCTCTAAATGCTTTGGTTTTAGAGATATAAGCCAAAATCTACATTTTACCCCTATGTTCTATTTTTAGCCATGGCGGCCATCTTGGTTGGTTGGCCGGGTCACCGGACACATTTTTTAAACTAGATACCCCAATAATGATTGTGGCCAAGTTTGGTCAAATTTGGCCCAGTAGTTTCAGAGGAGAAGATTTTTGTAAAAGTTTACGGACGACGGACGACGGACGCAAAGTGATGAGAAAAGCTCACTTGACCTTTCAGGTCAGGTGAGCTAAAAAATGAACGAAAAACAAATATGTAACACATCAACAAACGACATCCACTGAATTACAGGCTCCTGACCTGGGATAGGCACATACATACAGAATGTGGCGGGGTTAAACATGTAAGCGGGATCCCAACCCTTCCTTTACCTGGGACAGCGGTGTAACATGACTATATTTATATACTGGTTGTTTCTTTTGTATATAGAAATATCTTAAGAATACCTGAATGATATTCAATATTCAAAGTAATATGTGAATTTGTTTCTTGCAATTTATTATTCTTAGTCAAGGATACATTAACAGACTATCCCCTTCTTTGTGGAATTATTTAACAAAATGATGATGAAGAGCCTGCAGTAAGCAAGCTCTTATACCCCACATTGTCCTTATTTAAGAGATAAGTTACAAGTGACTTAGTGACATTGTTATTTCTGTTACTTAAAGGATGATCAAATTCTGTAGATTTAGACAATAGTATTGTTATACTAGTTTGACAATTACAAATATAGTGACACCATTTATACATGTACAACCAAATTTCATTGTTGATATTAATATGTTACAGTATATAAACTGAAATCTTTAAATGACAACATAAATTATTGCAGAATTATCTTTTTTTCAAATGATTTAATGTTTGTGAGTCATTTATTTCAAATAATCAACCCGTACTAAAATAAGGAGATGTGATTACATGATTGCCAATGAGATAACAGTCTGATAACTAGCTAGCTATCCACCAGGGTCTAAATAATGTGGCTGTTGGCAGTTATAAGTCACTTTACATCATTATAGCCTCATTTTTTTTAAGGACCTAGCTAGACCTTTGTCTTAGGCAAGGTGTATTATATAACTCTGAAAGCAATACAATCCAGTGTTCTCCCCAGGATTTTTTTTATAGCGCTGTGGTATTAGCGCCCGATTTAAGATTGATTCACCTTAAGTTTCATGTTTGTGACTTGATGTTACATTTATTTATAACTACCATGTCAGTTTTATTTTATTGAATAGACAAAGACCTGGTTTTTTAATACATGTGCCATGTGCATTAACTGAAATGCAAATAAGTGACATTTCAATAATTAGTTAAACTTTAATAAAATGCTTCGCTGGGCGCAGCTTGATACGACCGCAGAGGTCGAACCCTGAACAGTTGGGGCAAGTATGGACACAACATTCAAGCTTGATACAGCTCTGAATTTGGATTGTGATTAAATATTTGACACAGCATAGGTTTCTGACACAGAAAGAATGTGGTCTAAGAACTTGAATTTTTTTAATTTACCTATTATGGTCCAATGTCCAAAATCAAAATACATGGTTAGATTCAGCATATCAAAGAACCCCATATATTCAATTTTTGTTGAAATCAAACAAAGTTTAATTTTGGACCCCAACTTGGACAAACTTGAAAACTGGTCCCATAATCAAAAATCTTAACACATGTTTAGATTCAGCATATCAAAGTACCCCAAGAATTCAATTTTTGTTAAAATCAAACTAAGTTTAATTTTGGACCCTTTGGACCTCAATGTAGACCAATTTAAAAAACAGGACCCAAAATTAAAAATCTAAATACACGGTTAGATTTGGCATATCAAAGAACCCCAATAATTAAATTTTTGATGAAATCAAACAAAGTTTAATTTTGGACCCTTTTGACCTCAATATGAACCAATTTGATAGCGGGCCCACAAATAAAAAATCTAAATACATGGTAAGATTCAGCATATCAAAGAACCCCATATATTCAATTTTTGTTGAAATCAAACAAAGTTTAATTTTGGACCCCAATTTGGACCAACTTGAAAACTGGGCCAAAAATCTAAAATCTAAATACATGTTTAGATTCAGCATATCAAAGAACCCCATATATTCAATTTTTGTTGAAATCAAACAAAGTTTAATTTTGGACCCCAACTTGGACCAACTTGAAAACTGGGCCCATAATAAAAAATCTAAACACATGTTTAGATTCAGCATATCAAAGAACCCCAAGAATTCAATTTTTGTTAAATTCAAACTTAATTTTAATTTTGGACCCTTTGGACCTTAATGTAGACCAATTTAAAAAACGGGACCCAAAATTAAAAATCTAAATACACGGTTAGATTTAGCATATCAAAGAACCCCAATAATTCATTTTTGATGAAATCAAACAAAGTTTAATTTTGGACCCTTTTGACCTCAATATGAACCAATTTGATAGCGGGGTCCACAAATAAAAAATCTAAATACATGGTTAGATTCAGCATACCAAAGAACCCCATATATTCAATTTTTGTTAAAATCAAACAAAGTTTAATTTTGGACCCTTTGGACCTTAATGTAGACCAATTTGAAAACTGGACCCAAAATTAAAAATCTAAATACACGGTTAGATTCGGCATAACAAATAAATAATTGTGGTCAAAGATTTTACAAATCTAATGCGCCATACTGGTCTTCCTTTATAAATATGCATTTCTTTAAACATAATTTAAAAGCAGTGTAAGGGAAGTAACCAAAACGTTGTATTTGGATTAACTCCCTTACACTGTTTTAAATTATCTTAATTGTTCATTAACCATTACTTTATACATAATTTAAAAGCAGTGGAAGGGAGATAATTTCAATGATGTATTTGATTTATCTCCCTTACACTGCTTTAAATTATATGTTTTGTACTAAAGTATTTGTCCATTAATGAGGACAACCTTGTTTTTCCCCCTTTTTTGCCCCTAATTCCTAAACGGTTTGAGCCATAACCCCCCTTTGTGGTATGGAAACTTGTAGTATAATTTCAGAGAGATCCATACACCGTTCCACAGTTATTGTCTGGAAACTAGAAAATGCTTATTTTTGGCCCCTTTTTGGCCCCTAATTCCTTAACTGTTGGTACCATAACCCCCAAAATCAATCCCCACCTTCCTTTTGTGGTATTGAACCTTATGGTAAAATTTCAAAGAGATCCATTCACTTAAACTAAAGTTAGAGTGCGAAAACCAATGTGTCTTCGGACGACGACGACGCCAACGTCATACCAATATACGACCGCAAAAATTTTTTGCGGTTGTATAAAAACTAAAATGCCTAGATAACATAAATAATTTGATTTTATTACCACCCGTCCCAAAATGTAGCACAATAGGTATATCTTTTTTTCTCACTTTCAGTTGTTTGACTTGTAAACTAGTTATGTATCCTTTACAGCTTCATAATTTACTTACACACATATTTAAGAAGGTTTACAATGACAAAATTGGAATTTCTTCATTAATTTTTATTTACAGTCATCAA